TCATTTTATATTAAATAACTTTATATATTATATGCTTAGATATATAGATAATTAATTTGAAAATTTTAGCGAATTCAGTTGATCCAAAATCATATAATTATGTGAAAAAGATTTATGCACTTTTGCTAAAAAAAGTAGTGTATATCTATCATATAAAAATATGGATAAAATATTGTACTATGTATTTTAGGTGATCGATCTCATATAATGAAGTAATAATTATACTTTCACATTTAATATTGGGATTCTACATTGAAAAGCATTCTAGCATTTAAGATGATAAGTTTATTTTTTGCAATATTTATCATAACCTTATTTACTTTTTATATCATCCTATATACTTTTTTTTTTATGATCTCCATTGTATATAGGACAGATTGCTAAACTATTAAGATTAAATCTGTCATTACATTTATCATTATTTTTAAAGATAGATAAGAAAACTACTCTAGCACTAATTCAATGATATGTTTTCATTTATCTTTGGAATTTTTAGATCAGATAAAATCAAAAGTCTAAGTTTAATAGAATTTTAGATAATTAAATTATACACATTTTAAGTTATTTATTATAAAGATTAATGTTTTGAGATTACATTTTATTGATAAACTACTAAATTTTTTGATTCTTCTAGAAATAATAATTTCTGGTTTTTCATCATACCATACTTCAAAAAGAAAGATTCTATTATCTTGACATATACATCTTTTTCACTGATTATGATTAATAATGACTAAGTTTTTTAATATCCTTATACCAACTAATATTATAAAACTAATGCTGAGCTCCTTGTATTTCTAATGTGATTCGATATTTTTGGAAGAAGGTATCAACTAATCCTTGCAAGAAGAGTGATAGTAAATTATTAGTTTCTTATCAAGGAATATTTGAACTATTAAAATATATTTATCTTAAAATTTGTGACTTTTTCTAAGATCTAACTCTTTCGTAAGATTATCTATAATCTATTTTAGCCTTATATTTTCATATACTAGACTGTTGACTCTAGATTGAAGACATTGAAGACATGATGTTTGCTATAATAAAAACTAAGTTTATTTTACAATCACTTTGATCTCCTTATCTTCGAATGATATAGGTTCAAGAAACTTTTTAAGAGATATTATTTTGGAAGGTCTTTCAGTATTAAAAGCCACAATTCTCAATCTCAATAATTCACCTTCTTCCACTCATGTTAGATTATTTTGATTCTTTAACTCCTCTAATTTAAGCTCAGATAACATATTTGATAAATTTTATACAAAAACAGAAATGTTCAAAATTCATAAGTATATATAAAAACAGTTAAGTAAAAAATTAGATTATGCCGGTTAGAGGAATGGTTTTTTTTGTCAATAAAAAATTTTTATTAATACATGTGAAAAATAAATACAAAGATTCAGAATATAGTCTAAGATACATGAAGTTTCTATGCTAATATTTATCCTAATTATCCATTTTTATCCATTTTGATAAATTCTTGCGATTTAATCTAGCTATCAAAATAAGTCCTTGGTAAAGCTTTAGTAGTTTAGTGAATATAAAGACGTGTAAACTTAATTTATTTAGTTACCATGTGAAAAAAATAAATCTACATGACCATCACAGTATATTATTTTATTGAAGTTATATCAGAAAGAATAGGAAAAGATGTGATTCTCCAGTAAACTTATCATTTTTGAACTTCTTTATTTTGATTGGTGAAGAATCATCCTCAAAACTTTTTTACTTCTTGCCAAAGCTCTGACCTGGTGAAACTTTAATTTACTAGTTTCTATTCTTATCTATATGTTGAGCAATATGAATGAGTATTGATAAGAAAACTAAGCAACTCTTCAAAAAAATGAAAATATATCTTAAATGAGTAAACGATTCTAATTGCATATAATAGATCTTAAATACCACTACCCTCTCTTTCCTCAAATGAGGAAAGGTAAAATTCTCCTAATAGGTAGAAGTCAGTATTGGTCACCTTTATAGGTCCAGTTATTTTTGACTGGACTATGATGCATCTCACTTATAAATCACAAAATTATTACGTGACTTTAATTATTTATAAATCAGAAAAAAAGCAATAAACTATAAAAATCAATTAATAGATTAATAAAACATGATAAGCTGATTATTTCTAATGGTTTTATTTTTTAAAAAAATAATCTACATTTTGTTTTATTTTGATTTGAAGTTCAAGAATATTTTGTAAGATATATATAAGAAAAAGAAAAATTTCAGACTGAGGATTAGTATGTAAACGTATAATTTATTATATGAAAATGATGGAATTTTTCACTGGATCAGTTAATAATAACTATAACTCATCCATCCAAACAAAAAATTCAGATCAAAAAGTAAGAATAAAGTGATAATGGAAGGTTTATAAAAAAATTACAGTTACTGATAATTCGAGGGATAATGATAATTAGGAGATAATGATGATAGCGGATGGTATTATGAGATCGATTATTTGGATGACAAAGTTGCTTATAATTAAATGAAAGAAAAACCTCTTGAGTTGGTTTAGTCAGATAATGCATATCTAGAAACTAATAAGCGTGAGCCTTATTTCACTGGAAAAACAAAGAAATCAATGTATTTTGATAAATATGAGCCAAGTGGCTCATTTACAAAAGCTGTAAAGGAGACTGTAAAGATAACAAATTACTTGAATAAATCAACTCTGGATGATTTTACAAAGATTTTAGATGACACGAAAGATGAGGAATGAAATCAATTTATTTTAAAAGAAAAAATTAAAAATTTAAAAATTGAACTTCAAAAGCAGCATAAAGTTCTAACAATAACTGAATATAATAAGAAGCGTGCTATCTTTGAGTACTTAAGAAGGCTGGATGAAAATAGAAGAGGAAAGGCAAAAGCTAGTAAAGAAGCTGTAGAATTAGTTTATATTGAGCATGCTCCTTTTAAAGCGAGATCTATTCAATACTAGGTAAACTATTAGCTCCAGTACAATTGTCTTCTAGTAAGCTGTCAAAGAAAACATTAAAAAACAATTCAGCTAATAGATGATGAAGATGTAGCAGAAGAATGTTATTTATGGATTCAATTCCAGTGTGAAATAACAACTATTAAAGTTTAAAAAATTCATTAAGCAAAAATTGCTTATCAATATAAGGATAACAAAAAAAAAACCATAAGTATGACAACATCAGTATGTTGGTTAAATGTATTTTGCTTTTCTTTTCAGCAACAAAAATAAGGTAAAAATTTTCATTAATTATTTGAATTATGAATATGATATAAAAATTAACAAATAAAATTAAAAAGGAATATACTATGATAAGCATGAGCGTCCTGATGTTGTTAAATATTGAAAATTATTTTTGGAAGAAATGTTTAGTTATAAAAAATATATGACAGTATATGAAGGTAAGAACATGGAATGTATTTCGCTAGTTTTAGAATCTAATGATAAGGAGGTAATTTTGTAATGCACGATAAGTGTATATTTTATTCCAATAATAGAAAATGAGACGTGTGGGTAAAGTTAAGGAAATTTCATTATTTAAAAAATGTAACAGACATTTGATTATGGTCAGTGAATTTTTATTAAAAGAATATGGTTGGCTTAAGCTAAATAATTAACAAATTCAGAAAATACTTCTGTATCTGAAGAAGCACGCATTTATCTTTAACTGGGTAAAAACTAAGCTAAGTATTAGACAAATAAACATTTAATAAACCAAGTTCAAACTAAAGCTATCCTAATTTTTGAGGCTCTCTTTTCTAATTATATTGTGCTGTTTGCATTTAACAATAGCTCGAACTATGTGACATTTAAACCTGACGCTCTTATAGCTAGTAGAATGAACCTAAAACCTAAAGAGAAGTAGCCTAAAATGAGAGATATGTTTTTTAGACTAAATAATAAACATCAATCAATGATAAATAATAATGGCGAACTTAAAGGAATGAAGCAAATATTAATTGAACGTGACTTGTGAAGAGATGGTCTAAGTGCTGATTGTAAATTATGTAAAGATAAGGTATATGATGCAACTCAGACAGAATGTTGTGCATGTCAAATTATCTCATTATGACCTGATTTTTTGGCACAAAAAAGTGCGTTAGAGGAAGTAATTTTAGAAGCAAATCATAAGGTTATTTTTTATCCCAAATTTCACTGCGAGTTAAATTTTATTGAACGATATTAGGATGCGGCAAAAAAATACATCTGAGAAAATTGTGATTACTCATGATTGGGTTTGCAGCGTGTTGTTCCTAAAGGTTTAGATTCTGTTTATGTAATTACAATAAGAAAAGTCACTTGAAAGGTATGGCGTTATATGGACTTATATAGGAATGGAATTATGGGTAAGTTGGCTGAGTACATGGCTAAGAAATATAGGTCTCATTGTCGAATTCCTGATCATGTAATAGCAGAATTAAAATGAATTATAAAAAATAAAATTATAACTTTTTGGCTGGCATTACAGAATTCGGCCGGAATTAAGATATTTAAATCACGTGAATTTCACGTGAATTTGCATCTGAAATTTCGGACTTTTGTGGTTTATAAGTGAGATGCACCATAGGACTATAAGTCCAGTTACTGGAAATTATAGGTCCAATGGTCCAGTTTTTCAAATTCCTCGACATCATCCATAAATTCAAAATATTTTTATAAGCGAGAAAAATCTTGTGTTGTCATACGCGTGTTATATGTAAAAGTAAAATAGGAATAGGCGCAATTATTATTCAATGTGCGCCGCGCCTATTGCGCAACCCCAATTTATATCACATCAATATCAAAATCATTTATTATTAAAATTGATTAAGTAGTAATTTGTTTTAAGATGAAAACTTCAGTTTTTTTAATATAATTTTACAAAATGAAATTTTTTAAAGAATTAATTCGATAATTTGTATGGATGATCACACTTTATTTTACGAAATGGAATGAATATGAAAATTATTTCTGTTTTTTATTATTTTATTTTTTTATTAATTTAATTCGATTTTTCCCATCTAAAATTTTCGAATCATGTCCATAAATTTATAGTATGATCTGCACCTGAAGATATTATCCATGGCTGCGTTGGATGAAATTCGCAGTCCAAAACGCCTAAATAAAAATATAAATTCAAAAATAATTCGAAAACAAGGTTGCAATAAGTTTTTATATCTTGAAAATAGTTACCTAGGCTATTCACGACTTGATGTCCATCTTTTAAAATCTTTACTGGAACAATTAATGGATTTTGAAGCAAATCATTATACACCATACCATGAAAGATTTGTATTAATCCGTCATCGCTACACGACGCAAATAACGGTAACCTTTTATGATAGGTCACGTTACGAATTGCTTTCGTATGATAACTACAATTTTTTTTTTTTTTTTTTTAGGGAATAAGTGGTTTGAATTTTTTAATAACAAATTTACCAAAAAATACAAACAAATACCGCAAAGTTTTGTATGGTTTCGAAGATAGGTCCAAATCAAACCAGCATAATTTCTTATCATAGCTGCCTATTATGATATTATCGCCTATACATAGGAAATGAAACTGTATATTAAATTCTATAGAATGGCTGTTAGTTTTCGGTTTAATTTTTAAACCCTTACCCATTGGATGAATGTCGAGGCTAGAAATCCATTTAACCCCCGCTTGCAAAGTCTTTGTCAATTCCTGTTTCATTAAATTATAAATTCTAACATATCTTTGTGTCTACAAAGGGAAAAATGAATTACGAAATTGTTTATTCATCATATAACGGTTCTAAAAAAAAGCAAATATATTTACTGCAACAAAGAACAAGTGTTTAATAGGATGAAACATAGCGGATTGAATAATTCCTCTAGTCTTACGGAAAGGCTGTTGAGTTTGATGCTTGGTAAGATGGTGAATTAGAATGCCTTGATTACCAGCTGATGAAATTAAAGAAGTTAAAATATTTTTTTAAAAAAACAGAAACAAACTCAATAAATTGATTGCATAAATTTACCATCCGGCGCAGTAGTCGAAAAATAATCTCCTTTCTTATGCCAAGCAATTTGTTTAATTGTCTGAATTAACAATAAAATTAATATAATTATACTTAATGAGAATAAAAAATTCATTAGAATAATAATTAATACCTTATCATGAACGTGTTGAATAATGACGAGAATCCCATTCAAATTCTGTTGATTAGTTGGCTTTGACCAGTCAACCAATTTGGATTTTTGTTCTACTTTAGATTTTATGTTAATCAATGGGAAAGTATGGATAATTTGTGAATTGACATATCGGAAATCATTTCTATAAAATTACCATTATGTTGAGTGTTATCAAATCCTGCTGTAACATACTGAGTAGTTGAAATTGCAACTTCTTCTTCACAAATACATGTTGGCGAGATAATGCCAACTTTATTTGTACTAATAAAAAAATTAATATCAATTGGGAAACAAATTTGTGAATTAACATAATAGGCAATCTTGCGATATACAAAAACTTACCAAGAAAATGCAAATGCACAAACTTCCTTAATTGGGCACCAGGCAACTGAATGAACGATATCCTCAATTTCCCACGTTTTAACACAGCGACCGGTTATCATTTCCCACAACCTGATAGTTTTATCATCTGAACCTGAAATTAACCAAAGTCCTGTAGGATCGATTGAAATGCAACGCACACGACCAGTGTGTGCATCATATGAAAGTGTAAGAGATGTAGGAAAAGGCTGAAGGTCTTTAGGATTTGGAAGTTTAGGAATAAGTGATTCTGGATCAATATTAAGCTAAATGAAAATGATTAAAAACAGTTTAATAAGAAATATATCAAATAAGCGATGGAGTATTCATTAAAATTAGCTTACTTTATTCCTTCGAACACGTGGTGCAAGGTATAAATCAAGGCACCTATCAAATCGCTCCTGAATGAACCGATTATACGCAGGTACAGCTCTTAGACACGAATACCTAAAATATAAAGGTTATAAAATTAGTTTGGTCAAAATATAATTACGTTATAAAACATTAGTGATAATAATGATTACTTTTGAGGTATAAAATTTTTTTCTCTGTCTTCAGGATCCATTTCTTCCCACATTTTCTTTTCTTTTTCGGTTAGCAAATATTCTGGAGGTGGATTATAACTTTCCTCATGGTCAGGTAACTTCGTTTTTGGAGCGGGAATAAGCATAGGATGTTCCTCATGCGGTTGGTCGGTATCATTCCATAAATTATAAAACCGTGGTTTCTGTATCTGGGTTTTTCCAGGAACAATGTGTCCTTGGCGAATGGCGCGTACTAGCTTCATAATCTTTACGGGTTGAATTGTGAAAAGCTTGGTGAGATATTCATGCTAAAAGTTTATGATAAAAATTAATCTTACACGTTTTGCTTCCCATTTTGAAGGGATAAACCGACGTTTAGGTTCAGGTGTAGCATTTAATGGCATGACTTCTGTTTGACTAGTGAACCATTCAACCGTCGGCTCATAAGGATCATAATCTTGTTTAGGGTATGAACCCATTTGAATTCGATGGATGATTTCTAATTCTTCATTAGTCAATTTCACGTTTTGTTGTGTGAGGTTATCTTTGACAGAAATCCTGTAAAGTGAAAAGAATAGGTTTTTTAAATTTTTTTTTTTTTTTAGAAAAAAAATTAGTGAATATAAAACATTTCTTACCATGAATCCGGATCTTCCATATTCTCCAAAAACTTATCCAGTTCATCGCCTTTAGCAGGTTTCATAATCTTTTTTCCATCGATATTATAGCCAATATGTGGATAATCATCATACCATTCCATAGGTATATTGCCAACGGTATTAGTTGGCTGATTCAATGATAACTTGTTAGTTGAATAATATTCAGTTTGAAATTATAAAAAAAATCTTTTGACATACATTTTCGGTCGAAGAATCGCTATCATACACTGGATCAATTTCGGGTAATATTTTGCGTGGATTACCATCTGCACCTATGACATAATGTTCCTGAGTATTCCTAATATAAAATTGGATTGGTAACTTTCTCTAAAGACATTAAGTCTAAGATCGAATGATACGATTAAAATAAACATACTCTGATTCTGATGAAACATCATCAAAAACTTTTTCAACATAATCTCTCGAATCTAAATCATCATCGTCTAGGCTGTCTCCAGCGATATACTCATCATTATCACTCTCTCCTGATGTTCCATTATTAAAATTATCATTTTCTTCGCCACTATTCATTATATCATGTATAGATTCTTCATTTTCCGAGTGTTGTTTGAAAAAATCAATCTCTTCCTCATCTTCCTCATCCGAAAGCATGTCAATTTTTAAGTTTGTAAGGAAATTCCTGTCTTTGCTATTTTCTTCATGAGACTGCTTTGTTATTGATGAACTTTTAGAGATAAAATTTGTTGTTTTCTTATTTCTTTTTTTTGTATTTTTTTCAGAATTTTCCTCCGTTATTTTCATCGACATGGATAATTAAGATCGAATAAATTGAAAAAAGTTTTTTGTTGATAATCTAATTAATCAGTTAATCAATTTGCTTAAATTTGATTGGCTGTATGGCTTCATATAACTGGTCGGTCGGTCAAAGGCCACGACCGACCGACCGTATAGCTACTAGTAAATAAATAAATTATTTCCAATTTTTACACATCGAGTTCTACGATATTGTACCGATCGTTATTCCAGAAAGCGGGTCGACTAACTTTAAAAATCCAAAGCTCTTTCTCGTTAGAGAAGTTGATATCGAAAAACCTATCCCCTCAGAAGAAAGTGGGAACGGATATCAACACATCCGTAGACTCAGAATTGCAACTTGGAAATTTATTTAAAATTGTGATGGGGAGATTGCGATTATTATCTTGCAAATTTAAGTGGGTGTTTGATCGCCAGATTGAATCGCAAAAATTCATTTGAAGCAGGTAAAAACGGATAAATAGGCTATAGTATTAACATAGAAATTCCGTTATGTACTACGAATAAAGTTCTACATTTGTATTTATTTTCGCGTGTTTTATCATTATCTTGTAAGGTTTCGTTTATCTCAGTTTCTTTGAGAGTTTATATATCTTTTATCCTTGCTGATAGACTCTTTATGTTATGACGAAATACAGTAAATGACATAATCATAGTAGATGTCGTGACCTCATCAAAAGTTTAGGAGGTACCATTTTTAAATAATTTCTAAATATCCATACAAGTTAGCATCGGTTTAATTTTCGTTGATTTTTCGATCTTATGAAGAAAAAGTAATGCGATTAATTGTGTATCCAATTCGTGAGAAAAACATTTGATTCTATTTAAACTCAAGATCTAGCAGTTTTCAAATAAAAAAAAAGTCACGTGTTTGGTAGCAATACTATAAATTTCATTACTCTGCTAGCGTATCAATGCTTGTAATGAGCTTCCTTTCACAAAAAAAAAAACACTTTTTATCTATCGAATTTGTGATTGGTTTTGGAAAGATGATAATTTATTAAAAAAATATTTGCGAGTGAGATCATGTGATTACGGATAACGATGATTAAAGCACGAGCAATATTTACTAGATAATCAATCTTCCTGTAAATGCTGGGGGGAAGGGTCCGATTTCGCGATCTTCATAAGAGGGTCGCCTTTATATATATATATATATATATACCTATATATGTGCAAACGTGATCAATTTCCCCTCTAATATGCCATTCAAGGTAGCTTTATGCCATTCTCTAACATTATATCCGAAAAAAATTTTTCCAAGGCCTCGGCAAACTTATAATAATAAGTATCATTCGAATTGTAAAATTTACAATTGTCCCATATCTTTTGAACATCAATAGCGAACTCTTTAAGATTTAGGTATTGATTATTTTCCATACGTTTTCTGACGGTGGAAAAGTCCATGGGTTCCTTGATGATATCATAATAATCTGGGACAGTAATACGATCAACGGGAAGTTTAAATGGCCAAGCATTTTTATGATTCTCTAAATCTTCCATAACTTTCAACATGGTAAGGTAACATGCCTTGTATTTAGCCGTTTCTTTTGCTCTTCTTTCCAACTCTGGAGTCCAACCGGATTCTTTAATACCCGGTACAGACATTGGGTCTATTGATTTTGATCCGTTTTTGAAACATTGTAAACCTGGGTAGATGATGGGAGTAATAACTGTTTGCGCGATTTTTTCTTTTACCGCTTGTTTTTGCTTTAATAAAATCTCCCTAGTCTCGTCATAATTTATTTTAGGAACAAAAGTGCTCTATTTTCAAAAATGGACGTTCAATGATTTTCAAGATCCAGAAGAATTTCCAGGAGAAACGAATATAAAGTATTAATAATGTATCTGTGATAATAAATGACGCTTTTTTTTTTTTTTTGTTTATGTTCTTTATGTTTATTTTTTTTGGTCCAAAAAAAAAAAAAAAGTTTATACTTACCTGCATTAGTTTTGCTTTACTATAATCCTTGATATATCCTCTCCAAATGTCCTTATCTAATGTAATATTGGTTGTAAATCCAATCTTACGAAAGAAACCGATGGCACTTTCATCTGCGTAAACCAGAATATATTTGATCTTGACCACATCCCTCATGAAATACTTTAAACGATTCATCAAACGTCTACCATATCCCTTATCTTGATAATCTCCATTAACAGCAAAGAAAACGATTTCAATAAAGTTCCTTTCCGTAAATGGACGATAGCAAATCCCACCAATAACTTTATTGGGCTCTTTAACGATCACCAAATTGTAATGATTATGATTATACACAACACGAGCGATATACTCTGCTGGCATCTTTGGTAATGCGGTAGAAATCAATTCCTTAACGCTCGTAAGTAAAAACAAATTCTCCCGTGAACCGTCATTGTTAATGATTCTCCATCGAATGTCTCCTTCCTGTTCTTCCGTAAATATGAGCCTATGATCAAATTTATTGTTTCTTTCATTAAGATTCAAATCTTTTTCAACTGGTTCCTTGTTACATATTATTCCATGATAATGTCTAGTGTGATTCATGGTAGATGTCATTTGATCTCTCATTTTTTGAACAAATTTATCCACATACTCAAAGTCTAATAATTTCCCTTTCTTATCTAAATACTCGTCGATTTGAATAGCAATATTCAATAATTTAAAAAAGTCTTCACCATAAATGTCATTAACATTTCCATGAATCCCTAATTTGTGACCACAAATGCACAAATCGATTCGTCCAGAACCATTAACAACAGAATTGGGTCGCCATCCTTTGCAAGAGCACAGAAATTGTGAAGAGTCCGGTGAATGTCCCTTACATGCCATATATCTTCCAATCTTCATATGCCTTTGGTAATTAGACAATGAATGGACAGGAGTGCTAGTTGTTGGATAACTTGTATTGGTTCTCATTTTTCGAAAGTGAATGATCGTGATATCAACGGTCAAAGGGAATAAATCAAAAAAAAAAAAAAAAAAATTGCACACGTATATACATATATATATTACTAATCAAGATTCTTAATATTCTTAATCGGTAATGTACGATACGTATTCGGGTAAAAATATAGCAAAATTGTAAATCGCACTTCTCGAGAAAAAGTGGCAATTATCATGCCGCAGTAACGCTGATAATGAAGATGTGACGATTGGGGCGTCTAATTTTCTGATGACACAAAGTAAAAATAGTAATACAAGCCATCCAAATAAAGAAATATTGCACCTGCTATTCATATTTTATACATTTTATACAATTATTTTTCGAATTGGCTTATTACATCAAAATGACTTTGAATATTATAATAAAAAAGTAATGATAGTATTTATGCTTGTAAAAATGGACCGAGTGGTGATCTCGCAACTACATCAGGAAATTGTTGATTAAGGGCTTTTATGAGATCTATTAATTCCTGACGCGTATGGTCTTTTAATTGGTCTTCAGGCGGTGAAAGAACTTGAGCAAAGATTTTTAAAAAGTCTGGAATGTGATTCAACACCTAAAATAATTCAATTACATTTAATAAATTATAGACTATTTAAGGTTCAAAAAGTATGGGTAGTACTTACAAAAGAATTATTTGCACGGAAAAGGTAAAATATGCATTTAAAAACAGGTTCGTTCTCCTCATAATCTTGCTTTAATGGTAAGGTATCCATTATTACATCTAACACCTGTATGAGAATATTCATAGAAATTACGATTATAATGATTTAATACTCGAAAATGAGTCCGAAAATAAGACATCAATATACCTGATCGATCGGAATGGCTTGAGGACATTTTATTATCATTCGACATACTGCTCCACACGCGTTATCGGTAACATTTAATTCCGATTTCCCGTTAAACAGCGGATGGAGTCGTGATAGAATTACGTTATATTGGCTAAATTACAATTTAGATTAAAAGTTAACAGAGTCATACGGTAATGAACCACCAAAAAAAAAAAGAAATTAAACCTGCTAATATCGATTGTAGTATATTCACAAAGAACGCCAATCGCGAAGGCGGAATTACTTCTTACTTCTTCCTCTTCATCACCCAAGGCTTTAAGATATAATGACAATAGTTGCTACGAATAAAAATAAACTTTAACATCTTTTTCGAGGCTTATTATAATTGAGAAAGTATCATTATGCCCACTTCAGTGAATTCCGAAATGCCAGACTTTAGGCCAACAGTTGATTCACCTAAGCATCCGATAGCCATGGATCTATCAGATGTTGGTTTTGATTTTTTCTAAATTCATAAAAAAAAAATATATACTAAATATCTGGTTAAAAATACAAGTGAATAAATATGAATCGAATTTATAACATACGTAATACTTGGTAATATGTGGAAGGTACACTTTGAAATAAGAAGCGAAACCCGGGCCAAGAACTAATGCCAACGCGGAAACAAGATCCGATGCCTGGCTAATCAAAAGTGCATCGTATTCTGCTTCTTCATCCTCATCTACTAATCCTTCTTCGTCATCATTCTCAAGTTGGCATACGGATTTTTTCTCATAAATATTGAGTATATTTTGAGCAATTTGATCAATATCTTTATTAAATATTAATATGGCATTAGTTAGTATGATCGTTAATGAAATTCCTTTATAGCGTAAATGTATTATGATAATGATAGCATACAATCTGCAACAATTGCGGGTCCGCAATGCTTGAGCGCCTCAATAAATTCTTGACATAGTTGCACCATTACAATTCTATATTAAAGATGGTTTCAGTGAGTAAATGCGCGATAGAAGGCGTTCAAGAGCAAATGTTCATAAATGATAATCAGTATTATATAGTTCATCTCATGTTTATATCAAAATGAGCTGGGTAAACTGTTCTCATCATATCAAAAATTATCAATTTGACTGTCTCGTAAATTAACTTACTTGCTTTCTTCGTCGCCCATTATTGATAATATCACTGGCATTGTAGTTGTTATCATACTTTGAACATTTTCATGTACAGGTACTTTCTAAATATAGTAAGGTTAAAAATATAATTAAAATATTCTTCTTTGTGGTTTGAAATATATATATCTTTTTAAAAAAAAAAATGTAAATCGTACCACAGGTAAGCCCGCTTCCCACTGAGTTGGATTCGACATACTGTAAAATGTTATCAGAAAGCTAACTAAGGATGATATTACTGATTTTCTCACCCCCTCTGAATGATGGTTGGAAAGTTTCACCAATTCTGATATTGATGCTTCAACATATGAAAGGAAATTAGATCTTGTATTTGCAAAGATCTCCCCAATGACATCAGCTGCTATTTCTTTCTCATCGACAATGGCAGAATTGATAGTAAATTCTGCATCATCATCGTCGTCGTCATCAACATCCACATCTGTTGAAAGATTTTCTTCAGCTACATAATTTTTTTAATTAATTGACTTTGTAAGAAGGTGTAATTATAAGCATCTACATGTTGCAAGAATAAATATATACCATCAAGCGTAAATGGGTCAAATTCTTCCATTTGACAACTTTTTAATAATTGAGGCATAATCGTGCCTAAATAGACACTGAATTCTTCCTTAAACACACGTGCCATTACAGCAAACAAGCAATAACTACATTCGCGAAGGCGTGCGTTATCTAGACTTGTGCCTTCAATTGCTAATCGCATAATGTCATTGACATGTGGCTAAGAAATGTTTACATCGTTATTACGTTACAGTTTTTTTCTTTGGAATATATGTACTGTATTTATTTACCTGAATTAATTCCTTGCCTACCGCTTCGGCAACTGAACCTACGGTGTCTGTGGCTATTCCCCGTAAAAGTACATCCTCGTTGTTCTTGTTCAATGTCATTAGCATCAGTAATCTGCTAATTACTACAGGAAAATATTTGCTAAATTCCTAATTAAATACACATAGAAATTAAAAAAATGTTATTTGAAATCATTAATAAGATATTTGAGAGGATAGCTTACACTGCCAGCCGCATGAGCAGCGCTCCCAATAGCTGCTGTAACCGTGGCCTTTACTTCATTGGGACCATTATCCAATAATAGCAACAACCTTTCCATCAAAGTAGGCAAGTAAAGCAGAATTTCATTATCCAATCCTTCCAAAATAGCATCAAGTGCGTTACATGCTTGCTTTGGAATTTCAGTGTTCGGGTCATTCATAAGATCGAATAGCAAAGGTAATAATGTAGCATGATTTGCCGCTATCTCTTGATCCAATTCCTCTAAATGTAATAAAATTAAGTGGATTAAACAATCAAGACAAGTTGCTGTTTTAAAATAGTATTACCAACCTGCTAAACATCCTAGTGCAATGCATGCACCTCTACGAACGATCGTTTCCGGGTCACGCAAGCCATTACATACGAGTGGTAACAATTCATTAAATTTCGGACGCATATAATCGGAACATCCTTCAATGAGAACCTTTTTCATAAGTCAAATAAATATTTATAATCAAGATGGATTTATATTAAATTGTAAATTATATCAAAAAAAAATAAAAAGTACCGCAAAAGCCATCATTCCAGCTTTTCTGAATTTCGGATCATGATTTTGAACATACGTCACTACGTTTTCCATGACAACCGGAAAAACTTGTTGAGGCGGTAATTTGGTGGACAAAGTATTAATAACCCTAAAAGCCATCTGTTAATAATGTAAATTGTTAGTTTAGTTCATTAAATAATTTGAATAGTACGAATATATTAATTACTCTGGAAGGTGATTCGTCATCTTGATCATCAGGATCATCTTCAACTCCAATAGGCATCAATTGTTGAATTATTGGACCCACAAGTTTTAACCTTTGAACTTTTGATTTCTTGCTGTCAATGCAATGATGGAATGAAATGAATTCGATTATTACTCACTAGCATTTTTAGATATATGTTAATTCTTACTAATTAATAACCCAGATAAGAAATTGCAAAGACATCACGCGAACCGAATCGTCATATTTATTGTTACGTGACACTATTAAAACAAATTCAATAAGCTGTTGTAAATGATTGGATAAAAGTGGTATTTCCTGTGTCGTAATAAATTGATGAAATCGAGTGAATGTAAGCGAAAATTATACAAACTCCTTTTCAACGTAGAAATAATATATCTTACAAAGAACTGAACATACCAATAATAAAAGTCCATCAAATAATTCGAATCCTTTGATGGCCGAATCACTATCGCCTGCTTCCAAACATTGTTGAATTACATTGACCATTGAGGGGATCAGATCGCGAAATAATTGCTGATGAATTACATTTAACGAAATAAACATGAGGTTATTTATATTATATTAATATGGGTCACGTTTATAAATGAAGAGAACAACAACGACATACTATTTCTTCTTTATTATCAGCTTCAATAATTTCAGCAACTTTCCCTAGAGCTCTGGATAGAAATTAGGTTATAAATTTAATTTTTAATTATCAAAACCGTCAGTTAAAATTCAAAAAAAAGCGACCTACTGCAATGTAGTTACGCGCACAACTTTACTTTCCGGATCGTTAAGAGCTGCGCCAAACAACTCAAAGAGTTGCCTTAAATTATCCTGAAATGCTTCTATAATCACCTCAAATAAAGTATACAGGACAAATATTCCAACCTAAAACATAATTAATATATATAAATTGCATGTTATAAGAATAGCCTCAAGTGAATTTCTTACCTCCCGGTGTCCAGCATCAGGACTTTGACAGCATTGATACAAAAATTGAAGTAGATCATTCCACGCGCCAGCTGGTATTTCGATTTTAGCAACAGATGAGATTACACGCGCAGTAGCATGTCGTACAAGCTCACTACAAAAAATACAATATTAAAGAAACAACCTTAAATATAAAAATATGCACATCGCGTAATTTCATAAGCTTACTGAGGTTCCCGTAAAATAACTTCGAGTAATTGGTTCTTGATAGCTGCTTGCGTATTTAAATCAATCTTTGACCACCATTTCGTTGATCTTTTTCTTAATTCAACAGCTGCAAGTTGTCGTACCTAAGCAATTGTAAATAATTTTTTAAATAAAATATACAAATTTAATACAAAAAAAAAAAAAAAAAATTTGATTACAAACCTGCCAATGTGTAGATGATGATAAAATTTGTACAAGTGCAGCAACACAATTAACAGAGCTGTAAAAATTATTATTTAAAGTAGAAGTAGCCTTTTAAAAAAATTTGTAAATACGCGTGATTAGTAAAAGGAAAAAAAGAAATAGGTAATTAGTAACCTTGTGAAAACAAATAATGATTATTAAAGTTGTCACGAGCGTACCGTTCTTATTCTTGCGGTATCAGTATCTCCAGAGACCAATTGGTTAAGAAGTTCTTCTAATCTCGGAACAAACTCTTGATACTATATATTATACGCGTAATAATAGGTGTATATCTAAAATTACTTTAGTGACAAAACATAGCACGATATATTAAATCGACACAAACCTCCATTTTTAATAGATATAATTAAATATTCACAAGCAATCTTCGAAGTAAAATGAGTAAAAAGTAACTTTCTGATAAAAAAAGAAGGAAAAAAAAAAAAAAAAAAAAAAATCGTTTTTTTTATTGATAAATCTCGATCGCCAAAATTTTATGTAGATCGATCAAATAATTTAACAATTTTCCATTTTCATAAGTTATTCGAGTAATTCATATTTGTCACAAAATAGCCATCACATCCTTAGATTTAGGGTTAGGCCAGGGTTTAGGGATTATGCATAATGCGCAAAAATCACGTGATCAAAGAATTTCAGGGACAGTCATTTTGTGAACTTGCCAATGTATCTCATCGGTGATTTTTCCGATTAATCTATGCCATTTAAGGAAGGTTCAATTCGACATGACAAAATGTGTAAGGATTAAAAAAACCGCTTTTTTATTCATTTTTTCATTTGCTTATCTCTTTGATCTATAATGTCTGGGATAATATCCGTTGAAATATCTGATGCTGTTCCGCCCAACCTTTTGATAACCAATTTGGGTCTTGTTCGATGTACATGATCATAAACGCACTCTAAACCTGGTTTCACATCATCAAACGTTGATGGTCTGCCATACTTTTCATCCCAAGCCTGAATTAATTGTAAACAAAATTCAGTGCCACAAGTTCGTTGTAATTTAATTTTGCACTCTTCACATTGAATAAATAATAAATTGCAAGTTTTATTCCTGCAATTCGTGTGAGTGTCACATGGTTTGCCGCACGTGTGACATTGAGAAATGATGTCATTTGTAATTGGTTCGCCAAGTCGCTTATCGAAAGTAAAATTGCGACCTTTATATAAGGAAGTCACTGATGGATTGTCCTTAACAAACCGTCCATATGCTGTAATTCCCCCCTTAAGCATGTTAACTGATTTAAAACCTTTAGAAAGTAATATGGACCCCGCCTTAGAACATCGAATGCCACCTGTTTGAACGCGACACCGTAATTTTTATGCAAATGTGTATCAAGATAACTAATTAGTATCATTAAACAATATGATTGATTTATTTTTCGAAATAGAAATAGATTCATTAATTTCGTATTTCGTACCGGTACAATACATATAAATTTCTTCGTTTTGTTTTCCCTCGCATATTTCGTTCATGACCTTGATACTATCACGGAAAGTATCCACATCTAGTCGTATTGAATTCTCAAAATAACCAATCTCGCTGCGAAAATTTGAAAAATAAAGTTCAATCTAAAAGCAGAAATAACAAGATATGATTCAAGAAATATTCGTGCACTTGCCTCTCATAATGATTTCTCATATCTATTAGGGTGAGGGATCCTTTGGCATTGGATAATGCTTTGTGCCATTCTTCTGGTACAAGGTGTTTTGGTTGCTTGGAAAGATCATATAAATCGGATTCTAATCCATCTGCGACAATCTTACAGATTAAATAATTAATTCAGAAGCCTAAATTTAAACGAATGCTTATATAGAAAGATCTTTACTTAAATTTTTCTTTATTATTTTTTTTTTTTTTATACATCTTTCGTCAATACATCCACACAAACCTTGTTCCTAACTTTAACATGTAATTTTCTAAATGCCTTTACATGATATGTTGAGAAATTAAACTCCAAGTCATTTAAATCTAATACTTCTTCACAATATTTTCTTAATTCTTCTAACTTTTCTTCAGGGCAAGAAACCTGCGCATTTATTCCTTCGGAACCAATATAAATTCTTCCAACTATCCCCATTTCTTCAAGACGACTTAACATATTTTCTCGCAATTCTTGGAGAGAGGTCTGAAAATTCCAATTAAAGGAATAGAATGAAAATGTCTTCCATTCAATTGGCGTCTCTTTAGGTTCTATTGCAAAATTAGTATTACTAGTTGTATAAAAACGATAAGATCCATATTTGCAAAATAATCGACTGCTAAAATCAAAAGTTATAGAGTATCTTTTATTAAATATAAGTGATAAATTTGGTCTAGAATTAAGCTTATCTAGTGTGATATTTTTGTGTTTTGCAAGGAAATTAAATGAAAAAAGATGAAATTGACGAACACGAAAAAATTGTAAACTTCGAGAAATATAAAAATTCATTCTTTCGAATATGAAAAATAATCATCATAGAAAGAGATGACGATAAAACTGATCAGGATAATAATTGCTGCGTATATATTTCACGTGACATTACTTGTGACACCTTTTCCTTGTTCATAATTTCACGCGCATGTGATTTTTCCCTGCCATTTTAAAATCTTCTGGTTTAGAAATTAACATAATCACCAGTCAATTCTTCCTTGAAATAAATCTATTGCATAATAAATAGAACGCAAAAAAAGTTGTTCATGACAATGTAAAAAACTTAACCGTCCTCTGGATGAAATCCAAGGCTGCCCCAACTTTACAGATCCTTTAAAGTTGGAACACTCATTTTCTCAACATTTCTTTTATTGTTTACTTGTAATATTTCTGCATTTTTCTTTTGCTTGATTTCATAATTGTCATTGCCATAATTTTAATTACATTTTCATGTTGCAATCCTTCGGAATTGATGATATCCGTTTTCATCGCGACCATCTCTAACGAGAAAGCGCTTGGTTGTAAAGTTATCCAACCCCTTCTTGGAGTAACGATCAACGAAATATCGTAGAACTCGAGGTGTTAATTGACGATGGAAAGAAATCATTTTAAAGACTTAAAAGTTTTTCAAATTTTTGCTTCGTCAATATATGAAGAAGTTACTTCATTACATTGAACGCGTTTACATTTTATAAATTTCACTTTTTTTAGCTTGAAATTTTTACCGATTATATTCAACTAATATAGTCATAAGTATTACGTTAAAACCGGAGCAAGTTATTAACGAGAGATAGTTACATAACTTCCGCGTTCTAAACAGTAGAAACAAGACATACTAGCAAGGTTTTACACTTCTCACGCAAAGATGAAATTCTAACTTTCTCGCAAGGGAATGAGATTCTAATTTCTGATTGGTCTGTTCATCATCAAAGCTTTAAATGATCGACAAATATAGTATAACGTTTTATTGTAAATATTGATTATATTACCTACCTGCGCATTTTATTCCTTCTTCAGAACCAATATAATAAATTCTCCCATGAAACATTCTAATTAAAAGAATAGAATGAAAAAGTCTACCATTAGGTTCTAATGCAAAATTAGTATTACTAGCTGTATAAAAACGATAAGGTTCATATTTGCAAAAAAAAATCGACCGCTAATATCAAACATAAGGGATAAATTAAGCTTGTATAGTGTGATACTTTTTTGTCTTGCAAGGAAACTAAATGAAACAAAGCGAGATTGACGAACACGAAAATAGTTGTATAATTCATATTTTTCGAATATGATTAAAATTTTTAGGTTACTTAATTCTAGAATTATAATTTTTGTATCACTAAATTAATCCAAAAAAATTTTAATTAACGCCCATCCCTATAAGATAATGAATTGGGCTAGTTTGATTTTTTTTTTTTTAACTGAAATAAAAAAATTGATTGTTTTCTTTCTTCTTTACTTATAATTAATTATATAAAGTATAAAGATGACTTCTTTACCACCTCTTGAACCTACAATATCACAACTACATACACTTAGTGCGGAAAGTCTTATCTATGAAAAGCAACGTTTAGAAAATTCTATATTTCATTTAAATAGATCGAATGAAGACATGAAAGAATTTGATGAGAATGATAAAGATTTTCAATTGGCAATAAAGGAGAATGAAGATCTTATCGCAAGGTAATAATTATAAAAACCATTTTAATAAATCTAAAATACTCAAGTACTTAATTGTCAAAGGCATCGTGAAAAGATCAAGATAATCCAGGATTTGTTGAAGGAAAGGCAGCAGCAAAATGGCAATACTTGTATAAGTGCCGAAAGTCTTGTACAGAATGTGACCAATTCAAATTCAATTCAGCAAGCAGTTAATACACAACAAGAAACATTGTCAACAACAACCGATATACAAATAGATGACAATACCTTTAACAACACACAAGATGAGTCCGAAGATGGAATTTATCTATAAATTCATTATCTATAATTTAAAGATCGAATGTAATACATTTTTAAAATATTTGGTTTTTTGAATTTAAATCTATGAGTATTTTAATATTTACAAAATTTTTCTTGAAAGGTCAAATCGGTTTGTTTATTTGTGGAGTCTGACTGTCGTTTATCAAATTCTTCAACGATATATTAACATATTGATAAGTAATGGAAATTAAAACCAAACCCATCTCCTGTAGCTGTTGAGTCACGCTACTGTTTCAGATTAAAAGATTTTGCATAATCCAATCAATCCTTAAATAAAAACTTTGATCTCAAATTCACGTCGCCGGTTTCTTTACTAAAATTCAGATGACTTCGTTTTAAGAAATATAATAGTTACTAGATATATCAAAAATCTATATATAAGATGAGCTTTAAAATCACGTTAAGGCAAAAAAAAATTTTTTGTGAATAAAAAGTACAAAAAGCATTTATTTTTATTTCTTATAAATTTATGAAAACGTGATTATTTAGATTATATGAATCTACTTGAAATGTATCCGGGTATATATTTTATGTGACCCGGCAATTAAATCCGGCTTTCGGTTCTCCCTTGCTCTAACTCATGGCGGACGCTTGATTATGTTTGGGGAAGTATCCGAAAAAAATAAAAAAATGATTTTATATGGCGTCACTTTTTGGAATTAATTTATGGAAACTCGAAAATATTTAAAAATGGCACTTCTTAAACTTTTTGCACAAAGCTCGTTATTCAACTTTAACGTATTTTTCAGATATTTCTTCTTTGGCGTTAGGTGACGAAATGAAGTTGGTTTTTCAATATAGGACGTTGACTAACAATTCGACCAATTAAATTTAAGCTACAATATTATTTCTCACCACCCCTAATTTTTTATCTTCCCCTTTTCTGTTCACCCCATTTCGCGAATAAAGTTTTTTCGCAAGACATACTTTTTTGTGTCCCATACTTCATTTTTTTTTCTCGTGAATATAAACCATAAGTTCCTTTGAAAAACAGCTCTACTTATTCCGTATGAGGTTCCGGTTATGATCCTTTACAGTCAATAAACCTTTGACGGACAGAAAATATAGTCAAACTTCAGAAGAGATAAATATTACTTATTTCCCGCGTTGCGGGAATATAAGAGAGGTAAATACCCGGTAAGATGGGGAAATAATCATGCGATGGAAATAATCACTTAAATAAAATTTACTGATTATCTCAAGGGATAACAAGTCATAAAAACACTACTGGTGCGATCATATAAAAACGTGAGATACCTAGATACAAACGCCCAGAAGAACAGAACTGGGGAAACCAACCGCCAAGAGGGAAACCTGTAAAATTAGTAAAGTTTTATTTCGTAATAATAAAGTATAATAAATTGGAATTGATGGTAGATTTTGTCGGATGAAATAGGTGGGTAAAAAAATAAGCGACAAATGTGTCGGATGGGTAAAGGTAGGATATGTAGTAACCAGTGTTGGCCACCTTTATAAGTCCAGTTATTTTTGACTGGACTTGGATTATAAGTCCAGTTACTGGAATTATGGCCAACACTGGTAGTAACCTATCATGTAACTTGGGTATTATTGGAAAAATCGCGAAGCTTTGATTCAATGTAGGATTTTTACTTTATTCAAAAGATACTAAAATTTTGACATACGAAGGATTATCAATAAAAGTTTTCTCAAATTTTTTACTATAAAGGAGTTATTATTGATTTGGATTTTAAGGACGTTTTCAAAGTTTACAAAGTTAAGCGTTGCATTAACTTTGAAAAGTTTGAAAGGTTTCTCATATTATTAATTAGTTCATGAATCTTGATTCAACGATAACCAATAATTGAGAGATTAAATTATATATATATTAATTTATTTATTTTAATTTTAATATTTTGTATCTAGTGTGATCTTGACACCCATGCTCGCAAGTTCCGTTGCAAGGTATCTAAAAGCAAAAGGAATTTTAATTAAAGTAATATATTGCGCCGTATCACAAATTTTACATATAATATGATGCTTCTTGTATTTAACATCGTTTCTTGTTTCATGTTCTTTAACTATCAAAGCCGTAAATATAGAACCACATTTTGCACATAGATGACACTGATAAGTTAGATAGATAAAGATGAATTGGTTCAGTTTATCTTTATACAAACATAATAATAATAAATAAGTAAAACCTACCTGTGAATAATCCGAGCAATTCATTAAACGATCCTGAAGGCAAAAACTCATTCCGTGAGCCAACAAAGCATCGCGTTCCATCTCTCCAAATCTAACACCACCACTTCTCTTACGCCCACCAATAGGTTGCATTGTAAGGTTATGAACAGGTCCGGTGGATCTCACTTGCCACTTATCGGAAACCATGTGTCGTAACCGTTGATAATATACGACCCCAATGTATATGTCGGCTTTAAATTCCTCCCCGGTAGCACCGCTGTACAAAGGTTCGTTACCATGATAATTATACCCCGCACGTCTAAGCTGTTCACCGAAATAATCAATCGCCGTGTCATTTTCGTTAAATTTGAATGGAGTGCAATCTTGCGCAACACCAAATAAAGCTCCAGCCTTTCCCGCCAAGCTCTCAACAAACATCCCAATTGTCATGCGAGAGGGGAACGCGTGTGGGTTGATAATGATATCGGGTTGCATTCCGCTCTCAGTAAAGGGCATGTTTATCTGAGGCCACAATTGTGAAAGGATACCTTTCTGCCCATGCCGGGAAGAAAACTTGTCGCCAATAACTGGAGGTCGTGGGATCCTAAGTTTAATATGAATCTTTTGAACCTCTTCTTTACCGGCATCATCTCCAATTAATCGAACTTCTTCCACATATGCATCCTCTAACCCTTTATAATTTTTACTCTTTGTGGTTTTGGTCGTGTCATCGTAATAAGCGCACAAGGGGTCACCATTTGTCAATTTAACTCCAATGAAAGGCAAACCATCCTTGTCAAGTTTTTCACGCCATGCTGGGGGTGCATCCTTTTCAAAACCAAAATGATATTTAATTGGTTCACCGGTCGTCCGATAATCCCCGAGATCGATGACTTCCGACTTGTAGATCGTACCATACGCAAATCCACGTTCATGTGATGACTTGTTAATAATCATGGCGTCCTCCATATCGTATCCTTTTTGATTTAAGTTGTATTTAATTTCTTTTGCAGCGCCATAAATCGACAATATTGAATATGAAAGAAAAAAACAAAAAAAAAAATACCAGTGTACGAAATTACAGCCACGATCGCATTTGTGCCATTGGGAAATCCGTCCAGACCAAGAATATTGTGAAGTTCAGGCCGAACAATTGGAGTTTGACCTGTCTGCAGCCGATACAGTTTGTTGTCCGTTCGGTACCTTAGAGACGTCGCCGGCGTGCCCATGGTTTGCTTGGCCATCTTTTAAAAGCATATTTATAGAATGAATATTAAAAATAAAAGATGTATCTAAAATAAAATTGTAAAAATTTTACCTGACATTGATACATATTACGAGGACTTTGGTTGTAATCGGAAAATGGCGTAAGATTCGCAAGAATACTCAACATATTTGTCGGCGCAAATTCTTGATGTGTTGACACACCATTGATAACATCCTCATCCAGACAAGCGATATCCATATATACCTTCATTTCGGGGGATAAAATATTTAACAAGCTGTAAATCCCGTGCACGACAATATTTATAAACTACTAAATGAATTTACCTGTTCATAGGATCCAACCATATCAGTTTTGTTGTTGAAAAGGTACTTGACAGGACGCATCATGCGTGATGGAGAGGAGAATAAATAAATCCCGGGATATTGTCCTCCGTTAGAAGGCGGGACGTATCCAATCTCGAGATCCAAAGGAACCTACAAATCAATACAACATTGAAGGAAGTGCCGAGAATGATCTGATGCAAAAATAAAACGGGAACATACGGGATTGGTTATGTCAAATTTTCGTTTTCTCAACTCATTTGATATTGCTTTTGCTTGCTCACTATCACACCACCCGATTATTTTTCCGTCTAATTGCACGCAAATCAACGAACCATCGGAGCTTACTTCCGCCGTTACATTCTTGGAAACTCCTATTTCTGCTAAAATTTCGGGAATCTTGTCAACTTTCAGCCTTTCCGTGACAATTCTACATGTGTGAGAAAGGTGATTAAGTAATCCACAAGGTGTGCCGTCCGGCGTATGAACCGGACAAAGGAATCCTAACCGAACAATTAATTTAAAATTTTTAAAGGCAAGTGCAATTATTTAAAAAATACACTTTAATTCATTACCCCATGATTCGGGCAATAATTTTCTGACAGTGGTCGTCTTTAATGTGGTGAAGAATGATCCACGATGTACACATCGGAAATGTGAAATAAAACGATAAAAGTTAAGTTTCTCGGCAACTATCGTGTATCCAGTGGTCTACGAAAAAAATCTTTTAAGTTTAATTTGTAATCTACCTGGGCATAATTTGATAACTCATTAAAATCATAAAGACCTGCATCAAATCCAATCCGGTATTTGAAACAAGGTTTCCGGTGGCAAGAAAATAAGACAACTTTTGACCAACGTTATTATTAGTGACCTTTGCGAAAAGGTGATTCATGTATTTTTCTAGAAAATCAAGTCATACTTAAGACGCGCGAATTTAAATGATAAAATGGCAAAAATGTCTTACACGTACTTTCATTAAAATTCACTTTTCTTTTTGCATTAATATCCATAGATACGACAGCACGAAATCCATTAAGAACATCAAAAAGTTTCTCTTTTATGATCATTCCGTAAAGATAACCTCCTAAAAGGATTTCCTGATTCTGTTGGGAATCAGGATTATCTTGACAACATTCCCCTGCGACTAATGAGTATAGTTTACGGATCATGAACCTTTTAATAACATAACAGAGATTAACGTGATTATACTGTCTATCAAAATTCAAAATTTTCATTACGTACGTCAAGAGATTAAACTTATCCTTCTTCGTCCTAAGGTGAACCAGGATGACTTTATTCAAGATGAGATCTCCCACTTGTTTATTGGTATAATAAGGTGGTGGTGAGAACGTGATACGAAACTTTTCGCCTAGTAAAGATGTGCATTGTTCTCGTGATTGAACATTAAATAATTTAAAATTGTGAAGCATAAGTTCCACGCGATCCGTTAAAAATGTGTTTGTATGTTCTCCTTGAACCAACGTATCATATATTCCTTTATCCGAAACTTCAATAAGAGACTGTAAAAATACGAAAACTTAATTAGATAATCAAATCTACCTTTCACTTCTCTTTAGGAAAATTAAATTTTACCTTCATAACCAATATGACCGGGACCATAAATTCCTGTTTTTTCCAACTAAACCGTATCATACAACCACCATTTTTTAAATAATGTAAGGTATTTGTTACGGTTGATTGATCAAGTTTCGCGCAACGGATCTGTACACCATACTCCGTATAATCTTCACCACGATTAGTAAACGATGGACGGATAAGCGCCATCACGTGATTACGTCTTGGGATTAATAGGAGACGAATAACCTTTTCTATTCCATTCACTATGAAATACCCGCCCATTTCTTCGGATTCTTCATGATGTTGTATAAGTTGTCGCGAATACAAATTATATAGATTACACCTATTTGACTAATACGAGTCATGAGTTCAACGGAATTCGTGAATCAAAAAAAAAAAAAAAAAAAGAACTACGAGAACAAATTGAATCACATTACTTTAACCATGATGGGTATCATACCCATAAATTTAGCTTCCATATTAACGGGGCCATCGTTTACTTGCCAACAAAATTTCGCGGTCATTTTCCCTGCATACGTGGTCAACCTTTCTCGACACTTTTAACGAAACGAGAGCATTTCTTTTAATATCAAACTTTATTTAGGGTAAACCAATTTTTTTTTTTTATTTCTCTTTTACCTCGGTGGGATAAATTTGTCTCGATTTTGCGAGACGAACATTTTCAGATAAGAGTGGTTTTGCAATCATAACATCGTCAATCCATACTTCAAACAAATAAATAGGGGAAAAGAAAGAAAAACAATAAAATTCATCATTCAAAAAGGTTTTTTTTTTACTTTTTAAAAAGAATAACTTTTTTTTTTTATTTAAAATACTTGTAAGTTTATTTCCACTTTCGGGGCTATTGTTAGGAACGTCAAAAATCTCCAGAGCGCCAATATCATCAATAGCAAGGTGTAAGATTCCTTTACCAGCAGGTTCAAGTAAGGAATTAAATGATTCGATATGAGGCTTGACCAATTTTTGTAATTCTGGATAACCAAATTTATCTGAACTTGGATTAAGAAATAAATTTTCTCGTTCTAACGTGTTGAATGTTGACGGCATTTCTACAGATCACAAGTTCAATTTTTTTTAAAAAAAACAAAAAAAGGAAAGAATATATAGAGAGAGATCAGATTTGTTAGATTTGTTCAAAAAAAAAAATAAAATTTTTCCGATAAAAAAATATTTGATTTCACGTGATTGGTAGATCGGAAATTAAGACATTACTTGTCATCTACCCAGCATTATCCTAAGCACATAAAACTTGTTGGGTTCAGAAATTATCCCATAATTCCTTTCGGCTTGAATTATTCGTTTTTGTCGAACAATTAACCCTAGATTTTTTTTTCATATGTTTTTAATTAATAAGAAAGCAAGATTTTTATTATCGACGTAGCAATAAATCAATTTTCCTTACTTACGTTACGTTTTCGCACTTGCTAAGAGTAACCACATGCTGGGCACTTTGGTAGAGTTAAATTATAATGATGATGCCAGAGAATCAGCTGGTGAACAATTAAAAAATTAAAGTTCATAATCTATTTTACTCCCAAAATTAGTTATCAAAAAAAAAAAAATGCATTAGCAAATAAGAAATTGACATGTACGATTTTTTCGAGGTGTATTTTGTCACGCGGATGCATATCATAAATACTTTTTTTTTAATGTATTAAATAGGGGTGACGGTTAATGCGGTGATACAGTACCAAAACAAGCGTACATATCCGATCAAAAAAAAAAAAATCGAGTTTTCCTCAATTTCTTCACTTCACCCTTTTGACTTTTGCTTTTTATTTTTCCTCTCCCCTAACTTTTCATTTAATTTGTACCCATTAAAAAGAAAAAAAAAAAAAATACTTTCTTAATAATTATAATAATAATGCCAGATTACATTATTAATACACAAGCATATTTAAAAATCATCCTCCATGCTTGTAAATATCCGACTAGAACAGTAAATGGTATTCTTTTAGCGCAAAAACCTAATGAAAATGATTCATCTAATCAAATAACGATTTCCGATGTCGTGCCATTATTTCATAATTGGCATACTCTAACTCCAATGTTAGAAGTGGGTTTGCAACAGGTAAAGAATTGTCAAAGAAATTTATTATTATTTTTCTTTTGAATTGATTCATTTATGAAACTCTGTGATTAATTTCGATTCGTAGATTGACATTTACGCAAATCAAAACAAATTGAACGTGGTGGGATATTATCACGCTAATGAGAGGATAGATGATAATAAATTACCGCCGTTTGGACAGAAAATTGCATCGAAAATTTTAGAAAAGTTTAATAACGCAATTGCCCTTGTCGTATGTAAATTAAACTACTTTGAAAAGATGATGTGAATTATTTTTTTCCTTTAATTGATGATTCTTTATTTTTTTTTAATTCAAAAAAAGGTTCAAAATACAAAATTATCACCGGAGAAACCCGAAATCGCAATTGTGGTAATTATTCACCCAGATGAATGAATATCTTCCGAGTCTTTTTTTTTTTTTTTTCCTACTTGACTACTTGACTAACCTTTCTCTTTTACTCTCAATCTAGCCGTATTTGTTTAAAGAAAATCAATGGCGACCTGATAACAAGGCGTTTTCACAAATAAAAGACTCATGTAGTTTTACTCTGGATAACGTAGAGTCGCCCAAACTGGTTTCATCATCAATTCGCAATAAACATTTTGAACATTTATATGATTTCGACGAGCATCTTGAAAACATAGAATTAGATTGGTTGAATAATACTAAAGTAGTGGAATTGGCACTCGAACAAAACTCAAAAACTCAATAATAAATAAAAAATAAATAAAAAAAAAAATAATGTTTAATAATAATATATTTAAATGTTTGTATTTTTATATATATAATGTATAATGTAATGACCTTTTTACGATCCCGAACGTTCATTTCTCATTCCATTGATGTTGACATTCGTGGTTGCAACATTTATAAAATATTGACATGGGTTCATCGGCCGAACGAGTTTGGATTTGCATAAAATACGCTCGCGGATGTTCACATTTTGGACAAGTTGCTAGCGATTAAAGAAATTATTTCAAGTAATGTTTCAATGACACGGAAAACAATCTTATAAACTTTACCATCGGTTGAATCAACATTTTTCCACTCCTCTTCACCACCAAGGACATCATCAACTTCCTTTCGTTTTAAGTTTGTTCGATTCTTATACTAGAAGAGAAAAAGAAATAAGGTAAATCTTTTTTTTGTTTTCTCGAAATAAAAAAAAAAAAGTTTGATACCGACCTCTCGACCGCTTATCGGAAAAACGTAAGGACAAGTTTGACAAAAAAATGATTGTTCACCCTGCGTATGATGTTGAATTAACAATAAATTTCCACAACAAGGACAGAACAACATTATGAAAGTGTTTCCCAAATCGTTAAAGATGAATTATTTATATATCCGATTAAAGTCACGTGAAAACGTCTGATTGGTCGAGGTCGCATATCATGATTAGGTTTTGACATTGTAAAAGTCATGATATTGCGAAAAATTTTGTACATAATATACTTAAAATTTGAAAGATTTTTTTTTTTTTTAAAAAATAAAAGGGGTTTAGCCAAGACGAAAACGAATAAAGAGAAAAAGTGTGTTTCATAAGATTTGATTGTGATCCATGCAAGAAATCCGAATTTGGATGAAATTCGTCCCGAGATTACAAAGTTCGTAGAATAACATCAAGATTATGTCGGCGTAATCGAAATTCTCGACTTTTGGTTTCACCGTTTCAGCCTAGATGAAAGGAATTCCCCAGAAACCAAAAAAAAATTAACAAAAATGGGTTTAAAATGTGTACTATCAGTATTTAAAGATAAAAACAAATAAAAAAAAAAGAATAAATAATATGATAAAGTTTTAATTGTTTTAAAAAAAAAAAAGCTGGGGAAATGATAAAATAGGGTCCACCCCAAATTGAAATTTATTATGGAAAAACAATGATGGAACAAATTTGGGATGTGTTATCCATCATGGAAAATTTCAACCATAACCCTGCCCCTTGTAACCTAACCCTAACTCTAACCCTAACCTAACGTAAACCTAAAAAAAATTGCAGTAATATGATGAACTCTTTTTTTCGAATCTTTCCAGAGCTTCGTTTGTTTAGCACCGAGAAATTCCAAAAACCCTAGTTTGTTTGTTTGTTAACCCCATCCGGATTGTTTTAAAAACAAATTTTGAATAAAAATTGATGGTCAGTCAGATAATTATTTGGAAAGATTTTCATAAACAAGTTAAAGCAATCCAAGGTTTCAAGCAAGAACGTAATTTATCAAAGATTGCGCACGGTGCTTTTGTATATCTTTTTCATTTGAAGTGTTCGTGCACACACAAACGTCCAGTCATGTTTTTTTCGCAAGGATAAAAAGAGTCAATGCTACGGGTTTAGCATCTTCATTTGAATAGGAAAAAAAAAAAGTTCCCTACAGAACGAGAAATTCAAAGGACCGCTTTCACAATTCTACAAGCTTCGCGAGCATGGTAACCCATCCAGCCTCTGATGTGGTTGACGTGGTTCGCAATGTCAAAACCTTATTCCATGTTCCTCCTTTCTTCACAGGGAAAAGGTAGATGATTTAAAGAATTGAAGGTTTGGTTTTATTCATAGGTTTATTTACTTTGATGTTGTGGTTATATTGATTTTTTAATATCGTGTTACCACGTGTTCCCAACACTTGTGTCAGCGCGTCCTACCACGTGCTTCGTTCTTCTTATCAAACTTTATACGATAATTTATTATGTTATATAATTTATACAACAAACAATGACCATGTACGTGATAATCTAGTTTTTTTTGTTTTGTTTCCTCCTTTCTAGATCATAAAACAAATTTTTTTTTTTTTGAATATGGTGCCTTCGATTAAAATGATCTATGAAACGTCAATGAACCCTTTCTCACTCTCTTTTTTCTTTTTCATTTTTCATTTTTTCTCTTCTATTTATGAAAGAGGTTATAAAAAGAATTTGAAATAATCAAAGTACAAATAAAGGTTGTTTAGAAGTTTAGAACCCCACAAAAAAATTTTTTTTTTTACAATCAAGAGAGTGTGATAATCATGAAAAAAAAAAATTTCTTTTTAAGAGATTGTCCAAAGGAAGACACATATTACCAATTATGTACTCATTAAATAGGAAAGATGTTGCAAAGACGGTTACAAAAGTTGCACGGTATTGGATTCCCAAGCTCAATTTTCATTAGTTAAGGTGAAAAATGAACCCTTAATTATCCTAGTGACGGAAATAAACCAATTGGCCTGTTATAACCCTAAATAAGATTCTTTATTGATTTTTTCTTTTTGACCTACTCCCAAAATAGTTTCACTGGTGAATTCATGTTGCATATCCCACATCCAATACCAAATAAACATTTCGTCAATTTTGAAACCATAAGTACTCCTTATCATAAATCGAATAAAATCAAGGATGAAAAATTTGTCGAACCCAAGATTTTACTTAATTAAGTTTCTTTCTCTAATTAGCCCATTTCATTTAATTCTTTTTTGTTTTAAAAATAAACATGTGCGTGTAATTTACAGATTAGCTTCGATCCGTCAAAATAAATGAAATGATAAGACCCTTACGTTTGAAAGAAAGTTAAAAACATTAATATTAATAATCTATCTTTATATTTTGACACAACCCACCCCAACTAACGCTTACGTTCATGCCCGAGCACGGGAGTTCATTTTTGTTCTCTTTTTAATGAAAGAGGCAAGATTTCAATGAGTCCACTTATGGTCATATGATTGAGATTGATGTTGAATGAGTCGCTCTTTAGTCCCTTTAACCGTTTACATGATTTCGGATCCTTTCGCTACTTCTTTTTCAAATTACGTGATTTCAGGCTAAGTTTAGTTTCTTTGATAAGAGATTTATCACGAATGACACCAAGCTATTGAGTTAGCCTAGAATCTCGGATCGACATGCTAGTCTAGGTTAAACAATTTTAGTAATTAATTGAAATCATTCATGTTTAAGAATTTAAAATAAATAATTTCTCTTTTTCGACAAACATAAATAATGAAACTACCTCCTTGGTTTCTTTTTTTCATTAGGTCCATTCATTTTCAAGGCTTGAAACGTTGTCAATAAAAAAAGAAAAAAAAAAAAAAAAAAAAAATAGATAAAATCCCCTTGAATATCTAATCATCATGTACATATATACATATATATATAGTACTTTAAAATCGTTTTGTTTCCATATCCATCGGCTCTGTCCCCAGATTAGTGTACAACAAAACATCTCGATATGGCTTAGACAAGCCATTGGAACAAGGGATAAAAAATATTGTACGAAACCATAATATCATGACAAAAAAATAATAATAATAATAATCGCCTTCCAAATATGTTGTCATAAATCCTAAAAGCACAAAGGATTGAATCAAAAATGAGACATTTATCAAAGATAAAAAGGAAAAAACTAAACCATTACCAAACAACAATAAATATATATAAATATAAATTTATATATATTAATTATTTATTTATTTACACAAGTTTATTCATTTTTTTTTTTTTACTGAACTTTTTTAGTATAAATGTAAAATTTTTGAGGTGAAATCCTATTAAATCAAGTCGGTGCTTTTTTTTTTTTTTTTTTTTTTACAAAAATAAAAAAAAAAATAAATAATATTTTCGGGGATATTTCATCAAGTGAAAGGCCTTTAGAACTTTTTAGGTATTGTATTTCCTTTTGTATCTTATTATTTAATTTTTCTAAAAAGAAAAAAAATGAAACCCAAAAGATTGACGGTTACTCTCTTTGTAAATATAGTACTACTAAACTTAACACAAGAATAAAATTCAAAAGATAATTAATAATTCAAATTGATAAATATTGATAAATATTAGAATAGATCATTTGATAAATCTAAAAACAAACTTGTACATGGGTTCGGAAACAATTTATCCATAATTTTTTTTTGTAAAGAAAGAAGAAAAGAACCCCATAAATAAAAAAAATATTAAAAAATATTAAAGAATCAACAAAAACGCGTAAAATCATTTACACAATAAACATAAAATACAATTGAATTAGATATATTCTCATTTTTAAAAAAGTCTAATGTATGAAAAAAAAGTTTATTGATATTACTTTTTCAGGATAAATTCAAAATGAATAAAGTTCATTATTATATGGTACAAAGAAATAATGTTTTAAATGATTTCAATCAAAAAAAAAAAAAAAAGATAATAGTTGTATTGTTTAGATTGTTGTATCATGTTCAAACAAATAAACAAAACCAACTTCCGTGTGATGAATTTTTTATTTGGTTAAGTGACCTTTGATAACTTTAGAAAGACGCGCAGCTAAATTGGAATACCCGAAGATTTTCCTTAGGATGTACGACAACAGAAAAAAAAAATTTGATGTAATTTGGTGCATTTTTATGATTTCAAAGTTTTTTTATCTTTCACGATTGGTTGCCAAGCAAGATAAGGAAAAAATA